CCATAGTTTTGGTGCCGAACTTGCTGTACTAATTCGTCAGCATTTTGGTTTCTATTAGCCATAATAACTCCTTGATAGATTTCTCTAGGGTGTCGTGGTACTTTGACCCTTGGTTGTTCTACTTCTACTCTAGGAATCTGGGGGTTTGGATTAACGGTTAAATTCTCCTCCATAATTACCCCTTAATTTGCTCTTACTGGCATTCTCTGGGGTTGTCGGACAACTTGGGGTACTCCAAAGAATTCATCCATGCACGTCATTTGTGCTGTCATCTGTTGATTCGACTGCGTAGCAGTCTGGATGAGGGGGTTTAGCACTGTACTTAGAGTTTATGCTAACATTTGTACCATATCATGATTACTCTCATCCATCTGTTGTCTCAAAATTGCTGTCGAAACATTCGTGAGGCTTGGTATCACATGAGATGGCCATCCCAAAAATTGGTTTCGACTGGCTCCAGACCCCTGTAATGGCGATGTTGCATTCACCAAAGGTTCTGAAAAAGTGGAAGCAACATTCATAAGGCTAGCCATTTCAGTAGTTGGCATGCCATATGGTTGCTCTCGATCCATCCAGGTTGTTGAAAATCCTGGGGGCACAGATGATCGGGATCCTAGGTTTATCCTTGGAGGAGGCGTTCCTAATGGACCTCTTGGACCTACATACGAAAGTAAGGGTCCAGTTTGATTTGCAGTTAATGTTGGTATTGATCCAACGGAAGTTGGGATATTCCCTTCGACAGCGGTATTAACCACTGTTCCAGTAATTGGTGGAGGTATTTCTCCATGATTTGGCTCGTTAGCCATACTATTCTCGCTATTTTTCTTCCTAACAATATGGTTGTTGGTTACTTTACCACTTCTCAATAACATGCAATGTTATAACTGTACAGGAAAAACACAATAACATAAACAAGATTTTTAATAAAAATTAGCAACGTCCCATCAGGTGTGCCAATTTGTTTACTGTTGTTTTTGGTAAACAATCGGTGATCTCTAAAAGAGTAAGTTCTTTTTGGTTTACTTACGGGATCGATCAGATTAATCCCAGAACATATGCTAATTTTTATGTAAGATGGATAAGCGGGAAGAACGCATGTTCGACCCAGAGAAAAGATGTTTGAGATTTTGGAAAGGTAAACAGAAATGTAGAAATGCAGAAATGCAAGTGAAAGAAGTAAAAAGATAACTTTGCAAGATAATAATAAAGTAATGTAAAAGACTTTCATTAATGAAAAGAGGTGTTTCCAACGTATATTTCTCAGTCTTTATCCTTTCTCATGGAGTAGTTACTTGAATAATGTTTGAGTGACTTAGTACAATAAGTTAAACACACCTAAAAACTACACAAGTTTCCTAATTTATACTAAAGACAAGTAACCGTCGAGGGATCATTCTGCGCTAAGATGAAGACAAGTGTCTTCTGCATGTCCCTCGACCTATGGCTTTCAGCCACATTGCTTCTTCTTAGCCGCTGGCGAAACTGCCTTTCCCTCCAATAATTCAAAATTCAAATATCCCTCGTATCATGTGTCAAAGCGAAGATATTTTCCTATCTGTCGAAGGACATAAGTCCTCTTCAGTCGAACAGGCCTGAAGGTGAGTTCTGGTCGAACGTTCAAAAAATAACTTAGATTTTCCTCCTAAATTAATTCATATGTCGAATATTCTTCTTGTCTTGGTTTATTCCAGTTTTTTGGTCTAAAAGACCAAATATAGTAAGTGTCGAATTTGGGAGCCAACAGAGAGGATATAATATTAATAAAACTTCATTTTATACAAAGTCAAAGGATGACCGTAGTACCATATAAAATAGTGGGGTTATGATTGTGGTTGAGTCCATGCACTTCTCTAGTTCTAAAGATAAAAGTCTGGTTATGGCATCTACACCATACTTTGGGTGATTGAAGAGATTTGGGAAGTTGATTATGTTGTGCTTAAAGTTCCTGTATTTAAATTCAAATGGATTTATATCAACAATGGTGTAAGAATCGATGAATTTGGAGTTACATTGGTTGATCTTAGCAAGTTAGCTTATGCTGATGAACCTTTCATCATGGCATCTCAAGCAAAACAAGTTTTTTATGTTATAAATCCTTCTAATAAAAGGTGGTCAGTGGTTATACAAGGAAAGATGCATGATAGTGATGAAAATCAAGATGTGAATCTTAATATTTCCGAAACTCCTCCTTTCTCAATAAATGTGCCTACCTTCATTGAAGAAAATGAAGAGGATGATGTGCATGCTATTCACATAGATCATGAAGAAGGGATATGAGAGAACTAGTAAGGTTTTTTTATAAGTTAGTTTGACATTACTTTGATTTCTAATTGTTTTTATCTTGTGCTTAATTTGATGTCTAATTGTTTTTATTTTGTACTTAATTTGATAAAAGGGTATGAAAAATATGGCTAGGAATGTATACTCACACGTATTATTTCGTGGAGGGTATAACTTTCTTGTGGAGAAAATGAAAAATGAAAGGAGATTATTGAGAGATGATTCCACATTAGATGATAATGGTAGTTCATCTCCAGTGTCACGCCATGACGTATGAAAGAGAGCACGACAAAAGAAAGGGGGGGGGGGGGGGAATACACATCAAAGTCTACACAAATTGTTGCTGAGAAAATTATAAGTAAAATTTGGAAAATACTTCAAGTATCATTATAGTTGTGATTGATAAAAACTATTAAAATTAGTTTTGGTTTTTGCATTTTGTAGGATTCTCTAGTCGAAGAAGATGAGAAAGGTGCCTTTATTCCAGATGAACGGAACAATATCTTAACAACAGCCATTGGAACACCTGAGCATGTCGGTCGTGTTAGTGGTGTTGGAAAACACCATAAAATTATCACTTTCTTTGGAAGGCAGTCTTCACGTCAACGATAAGATATAGATGTAGAAGAACAACTTGCACAGTTTTCATCTAAATTAGAGCAAAACTTAGAGCTGATTTTGATCAAAAATTGGTTGAAAAGCGTAAGATGTTGTAACAATCTTTAGTGGAGACACTTAAGTTTATGAGTTTCTCGCAAAGCACAAAAAATAATAAATGCATTGAACAAATGGAAGTTGTCGATGGAAGCGGAAAAAGAAGTTGTTCAGTTTGCAAAAGGAAGCACAAAAGACGTGAAAGTTAACGATGTTCAGAAATTGTTACTCATGGTTTTGAAAATGGGTAACATACATTTGGAAATAGAATTAAGTTATTGTGTGAGTGTCATTAATTTTTATATGTCAGCTAAGTGTATCAGAGTGTTGATGGTGAATTTTCATTGGCTTGACGTGTCTACTCTGCAAGTTTGTGCACATAAATATATTTTCTTTTTTATTATGCGTATAGTCTCATCACTTTGATTCTAATATTTATTTTAAAATTACATTCATTGTCTTTACATCGGACTCAGTTCCAATATAAAAAAAATCTTTTATACACTAATATATATTATTATCAAATAAAAATATAATATTTTGTCACGTCATACAACTAAAAGAATATTTTGTCATTTGATAATTTTAATGAGACTGCGCTAAAGAAAATAATTGTTATTTGGTAATTTCAATCAGGTAAATTTGAAAAAAATAAAATTTAGGTTAAAATTTTAGGTGGGTATGAAACACTAAATATATAAACTTATTTATAATAACTTTTTTATTTTTTATTTTAATTTAAAAAAATACTAACGTCATTTCAGAAGTTATTTAAATTTAACATTTTATATATTTTTACCAATCAATTAAACTCACTTTTAAATCATTGTATTTATTTATAAATTTATAAATAAACAAAAAAGACAATCAGTAAAGAATCAGAGATATTCTCTAGTTCTACTTTTACACGCGAAAGGGGTTTCGAGAAAGAAAGAAAAACGGAAAGGTTTGCGTTCTAGTGGAAGATTAGTTATTTAATTATCCTTTTGTAAATATAATTAATTTTTAAAAAGTTAATCACGAGAGAAAACACATTTTTTAATTATCCTATCCTACAGTTATTGCGAAAAAAGAAAACATATTTAACATTTTTTATATAATTTCGGCACGCCAAACTAGAATAAAAAAAGATTGGAAAAGAGCTTCTTCAACGCTAACGCAACAAACACTGCCGTTTCGTCTTCCTAATACACGTTTTTACGCGATCAAATCCATAAACCCTTAAATTCACTTTTTATTTCAAATTTTCTTCATCCATTCATGTTCACTTGTTAATTTTATTGTTGTTAGCAGAAAATTCGATGGGTGCCGCGCAAGTGCAAAGCGGCGTCGCCGCCTCTTCCTCCGCCGCTCCGAACAAAGCAACAGCCACTGCAACTACAACAGCAACATATGGCGTCGCCGCCGCTTCTTCATCCGATTTGAACCAAGCAACAGCGCCTGCAACAACAGCAGCAGCAACAGAAACAGCGTGTGAAGTGTCGAAGGCGCCGAAGAAGAAGAAAATCTGCTGTGCTTGTCCTGACACGAAGAGGATTCGGGATGAATGCATAGTGGAGCACGGAGAAGACGCTTGTGGAAAGTGGATCGAAGCTCATCGACTTTGCCTCCGTGCCGAGGGATTCAATGTTTGAGAATCGGTATTTTAATGGAATTATAAGAACTATAGGATCATCATAATTTTGTTGTTGTTGAAATTAGAGAATAGGTCAAAATAAAATTTCAAATGGATTTAGGGTTTATCATATTTTGCTTAAAATTCTTATGTGATTTTCAGAACTAATACACCTTATTGTTGCTCCATTTGATTTAATGGTTAAATGCTTCATTCATTTCCTCAATCTTTTACTCTTTAATTATTTTTCACTTACTATTGATAATACTTTATTTTTCTTGACTAGTTATAGAAATTCTTAAGATATATGCATGATTATTTAAAATAGTCTCCTACTGTTTCTGGAAACTTTGCTCGGGTTCTGGTTGCTTGACGCCGAAAGAGATAACCAGTTGGAGGGGAATGAAAAGGAAGCAAAAATGAATGATGAGGAATGGATACATAGTGAGAGATGGGAATGGTCTTGGCATTTTGCAGAGTCCCACTTGGTATTGTTATGGGAAGGTGATTTTTAGAGTGGTTGCATGAATTAGGGTGACATGGCTATCCGAGGAATTCTATGATCAACCCATTCTTCATATAATTGAAAATACAGCCGGTCGTACAATCAAGGCAGACAAGTACTTCGTACTCACGAAAGAATTCTTTCAAGACAAAGATGGAGTATGGTTTCGAGCTAGGCTTGCTTATAAGGGTTTTCCATAGTCGATGGTCTCAGTTTAGGCTCATGAGTCATGAGTAGTGTGTATACAGGAGTGTGGGAGGTTTCACTAACTGTGCTTTGCTTGTGGTAGGTCTGGGTCATGGAAAGGCAACACACTATTTTGCTACTACCTTGATTGAAATGACTATGCCAAGCATATCTGAGGTGCTTTAGTCGAAGGTGTTTCCAAGGCGGCCAGTAAAAAACTTCAAAGCGCAACAATCACTCAAACCTCATGAAAGGGAGGTAATGATGTTACTTCATAATCTTCGTTTAGTTAGGCTAGGATATTCTTCATCAAGCATTAATATGGTAGAATGGCATGCTGTCTATCATATAGAATTTCCTTTATTTATGAGGAAAGATAGATTCTTAGAATCAGTCCATTTTGGGTTTTATATGGTGGTTTTTCCAAAGGCTGCAATTAATTTTGACCATGATGGTCTTAAACATGGTGTTTTATCATGTTTTCAATTTGTGTAGTTTTAACTGTTTTCTCATATTTTGCTGAAACATGCTATTGTATATGTTTGTTGGTATTTTTGTTGGAATATTAGTTGTCATAAACAGTGTTATACTGTCTCTTTTTTTTTTGTTTTGAACACGTGAACTTTGTTTCTTTCAATCCATATAAAGAGACACCATTGTTGGTCTCTGATATAATGAAATGATTTGTTTTAAAAATTTTACAATTTTTATAAAAATAAAATTTTAAATAGAAAAATTTAATGAAATTGTATTTGAGATATTTTATCATTTATGTGTGTTATGTGTTGTGTGTTGTGTGTGTGTTTTGTATTTGAGATATTTTATCATTTGTGTGTTATGTGTGTTGTGTGTTATGTGTGTTTTATTTTAATTCTTTCATTATTTACAAATCAAACAATATAATTTAATTATACATGACATTTCAAAAATTTGTCAGTAATTAACCTTAATCTTGTTATTCTAATTCAGATTATTAACTCCAAATCAACATATTATCTCACAAAACTGTAACTTTATCTTTTTATTGAGGACAAGCACAATCCGCACACGTCAGGAATTCAATCTCTACCCTTCTTCGTTAGGTATAGAAATTTATTAGCTAAAAAGATTTATATCACATACTATGAGCCAAACTACTTTTATTTATGCATTTTGTTGGTAATCTTTTTGTTACCTGTAGACTGAAAATTAGCATGTCTCTTTGCTTTCATATGATTTGCATTTTTCAGCTCTTTCATTGAGACTAAATCAACTCTTTTGTTAAGGTTACTTTGAATAAAGTACAGTCTCAATAAAAATTATAATCTCAATTTATCAATTAAATTTAGTAATTTTTTTAAATTTCAAAATATATTAACTGCAGATTTACATGTGAATATTGATTTATGTGAATTTTTATTACCCACAAAGGTTTTAGCTGGAACACAAAACATCAGAAAACATGTTTTCTACGAATTTTTTACTCAAATTCGCAGATAAATCTGCAGAAAAATAAAGTATTTCTAGTAGTATATGTTTGAATAATATAATTAAAGTGTATGAAATATTTATAATGGAGAAATGTAAAAAGTGTAATAATTGCATCAAAAAATTTAATATTTGTTTAAAAATTGTTTATTATTTTTTAATGGAATTTTAAATGATTTGTAATGTAATTTTGACTAAATTATATATTTTAATATTTTTTATATCTTAATTAGAAAAAAAAATCATTTTTTTAAAAATTGAATAACATCTTATTTGTTGCAATTTTAGTAGCTTCAAGTGTATGTAAAAATAAATTGTGATTTTAATTCAAAAAGTGATAAGTGATTGTATCAATTTTTATTAGAAATGTTATTAATTTCAATACCTAATAAAAACATAGGTAGTATGAGTAGAGTGCATGCAAATAGATAATAAATTGTGTAGTTAGAAATAATAAATACAAATGTTGAAACAAAAATTATTATGTTTAAAATTTATAAAAATTCTCATTTTTATTTATGAATTAAAGATTAAGACTAAAGTTACAATAAATATGACATTTAAGTACAAAAGGTTCCATTTAGAAAATAAGTGACTATTTTATTGCTATACCAATTTAGATGCCCTTAAAAAGGTTTAATTTTTAAGGTCAAATATATTAGTTGGTTTTTTTTTTTTCTTTCCAAAGTAGCCTAGTAATTTAATGGTGAGTCATTAGGATATGCGATTTTAAATCAATTATATTTAAAAAAATAATGTATTTATGACAATAACAAAGTGTTTAATCATCTAAAGTATTGTCATCAAATCTTGCCACAGGTCTATATGAAGAAGAAAGTATATTTAATCGGTAATTTATTGTTAAAGTTTGAAAGGATTTATATATCTTAATAGATGTAGAAAATATTTCAAGATAAGAAGAAATGGATTTATACATATAAGATCAGTTAAACACATTATTCTAAATAGTGAATAAAACAATTTTTTATTAATAAATATGTTTAAAATATTTTTGACGTAAACATTTATAGACTAAAATGACTAGATTGTTGTAAAATTAAAAAATAAAAAACTAATTTGTTAAAAACACAAGAATATATTAAACTAAAGAAAACAAATTAAAAAAAACAAAGTGAAAAGACCAAACATAATAGCTAATTCCTACCTACATCTAGTTTTAGTATATAAACAATTATAATAAGAAAAAATAAGCAAAAGAAATGAGATAGAATTTAAAATACTTCTAAAAAGTTTTTTGTAAAAGAAATATGTAAACCAAGTAAACTCAGTACAAAGCGCTAAATGTGAGAAAATATGTGTATAGCACAAATCGTACATATTCTTTTTACTAATATCAAGTATCTCATAATTTATACATTTTTTACAAAACTTCATAGTTAATACATGAGATTATATTTTGTGTGAGTGTTACAATATATATATATATATATATATATATATATATATATATATATATATATATATATATATATATATATATATATATATATATATATATATATATATATATATATATATATATATATATATATATATATATATATATATATATATATGATCTAACCTGATCAGACTTGGACCGTCACGGCTGGCTCCGAGTTGAAGTTTTGAACGAGGTGGGGGGTACCTGCAAGACACTCCGATGTTGAAGTAAGTAAGAGTACGAGCAGGCAAAGTGTGAGTATATGTGATAGAATGAATACCTGACCCTCTGGGAACAGAGGGTATTTATAGCCCCCAGCGCTGGGCCAAGGTTCCTTCATTGGGCCGGGCAGGTTTGGCTCAATGGAGGAACTGCCAGGTTCTACGTGCGTAGTGGGACCCGCATGTGGTCCCCTTCCTGGATGTCCTGCGTGAAGTGCGGGCGGACAAGGACACGGTCTTTTCGGGGTCCCGTTGAGAGTGTAGTGGACCGTGTCTGCCGTTGGAGAAGTGCTCGAGCTGAGGTCGAGCTGGATAGTACGAGGTCGAGGATGTCGCCCCAGTGAAGTATGTCGGGCATAGCCGTGGTCCTTAGGTCGGCGTGACCCCTAGCAAGTCCGTTTGGATTGGGCCTTTATCGTTGCTTTTGGGCCAGCCCGGCCCAGTCCAGAACAGGAGCCCCCCAAGTCGTGGTTCCTTGAGTTAGGAGCCATGACTTGATCTTAGGTCGCTTCCGTTGCGGGGCCCCGTATCCGGACAAGAGATGCAGCTCCTCGTGGGGTACTCGAGGGTTTCCCCGTATCGTGCTCGTGGACAGGTTCCCTGCGAGGAATGCTCGAGGGATTTCTCGGCAGCCTGTGTCTGTCGAGCACGCGAGGTCTCTTTTGGGAACTGCGCCGCCACCCTATGGAGGATAGGGTCATCATTGCCTAGGGGAGCTGTGCGTCGAGGAGGGGAACCCGTGGTTGTCCGAGGTGACGTTTGGTATTCCACGTCATCACTATAAATAGGGTCCTTGGGCCCCAGAACGTGTTTCCACCCTTCGCGTTTCTCCTCTTCACTCTATTTCTGCTGTTGTTGTTCTTCCCAGATTCTTATAGGACCGCCGCGATCTCCGTCGCTGATTCCTTTCCTCCGTCGTAAAATTTCCTTCTTGACTCCAAGTAAGTGACTTGTCTCCTTTGTTTTTCTGTTGTGATGCATGATTTTTCATTGTTTTTAGACGTTTAGAGACTGTACGCCTAGGATTAGCCCGGTAGATTCATATTTAGCTCGAAAAATCCACGCGTATGTCCGGCAAGTGCATGTCCGTGCCCGGTAAATGCATAGTTTAGGTTTTAATCTGCAGTGCTGCCCGGGGTCTTCATGATCCAGGGCGCCTAATTCGTGATCGTGCCCGGTAGACTCATAGCTCTAGCTCTAGGCTTTATGATTTTGCTCGCCATGCTCATGCCCTGGGTCGACGTATTCATGAGTGACCGAGTTGTCAGTTTATTTAGGCGACTTGTAGGAGGACCTGTCGAGGTATCTGGGAGTCGGGGAGACGGCTGCTGTTTTTTGTTCCAAAACACCAACTTTGCAGTCGCGCGTGGAGCGACGTGGTTTGTCGTGCCCTTCATCTCGTCCGTTATGGCGAGCGTGTGGTTTCGCGCCCAATTGATTGGTTTCCCGTGCTTTGTAGGTAATCATGGCGGACGAACCGTGCTCTTCAGGACGCCCCGAGGTGGAAGAACAAAGTGCTGATGAGAATGTGAATTTGGTTGACACCATAGAGGACCCTCTGCTGGAATGGGTGGGTGCCGAACCTAGAGGGATAGCTTCGGTCTATAGTCGACGTAGCCGAAGGGCATACACTATCCTCGAGGCGGGCCACAACCAGCCCGGTTTCCAGAAGAATTTCGTGGTCACTCAGCCATCTTTCACTGCTCGAATTTGCTCGGTGTTCCCCGAGTACAGTTTCCCTATGTATGAAATTGCCTTCAAAGACCTTGGGTTACAGCTGCCCTTCAGCGATTTTCAGGTCGGGGTCTTCATCCATCTGGGGCTGGCCCCGTCGCAGCTTCACCCAAATTCGCTCGCTTTTATCCGGGCATTTGAGCTAACTTGTCGTTTTCTGAGGATTGGGGCGACCATACCCCTCTTCTTCAGAGTCTTCCACCTACAGCGCCAATCCTGGGGAGGAAAGCATAGCTGGGTTTCCCTGAAACAGTCGAAGAGACTTTTCAGGATGTACATGGATTCTGTGCGGGGTTTTAAAGACAAGTGGTATGTTGTGA